GGGTCAGTGTTAAGCCAGTCCAGCCCCCACCCCCATCTCCACAAATGTCTCAGGGTATTGTGTTAGCCAAGGACCCAATTCTTAGGGTGGGGAGGGCTATTCATGGAGTCTATATTCATCTTCTAACTGTACCTCTCTTCTCTGTCTTTTGTCACCAACACCTTGGGAGGTGACTTTTTTTTTTTTTTTTTTTTTTTGAGACAGGGTTTCTCTGTGTAGCTTTGTGCCTTTCCTGGAACTCGCTTTGTAGACTAGGCTGGCCTTGAACTCACAGAGATCCAAATGCCACTGCCTCCCTAGTGCTGGGATTAAAGGCATGCGCCACCACCGCCTGTCTGGGAAGGTGGCTTTTTATGTCCCTCTTTTTGGGGGCATTCTCTTGCCCAATGGGCTATCTCTTTACAAGAGGCAAATTGGTCTTTCTGCAGAGGGGGGTCTGTCCTCACAGCAGGAAGACTTACATTGGTTTCCAGTCAGGCACCGCAGCTGCGTTCACTTCTCTGGATCTGAAACCATGGCCACCAGGACTAGGTAAGCCATGTCATGTGTCTGCCTATCCTCTGCAATTGCCATGGCATGTCTCTGCTTGTCATTTTCTGCAGCCTTCATCCTGTTTCCCTGTTCATTTGCTTCAATCCTTAACCTAGCCCATCTTTCCTCTGAAGTTTCTCTCTTGTTATACACCTTAGCTACTACTTCTAGAAGTTCAGACAAAGACTTTCCTGCTAAACCATCTATCTTTGGTAGCTTCTTTTTAATGTCTGGGGTGGCCTGATTAATAAAGGCTACGATCACAGCTGATTTGTTACCAGCTGCCTCCAGATCTATTGCAGAGTAGGCTCTGAATGCCTCCTTCAGCTGCTCTAAAATGGCCACTGGAGACTCAGTTGGTTCCTGAAAATGTTATTAATTTGGTCAAATTGGTGGGTCACCATGCAGCAGCCTTGAGCCCCCCCCCCCATTAGAGCCTGAGGGTAGATGTTTTTGGCTTTTCCTACCTTCAGGTATATTGACATTTTATTCAGGCCTGGTCAACAGGAAGGCTGCATTAATGAGGGCTTGGTTAGTGGTGGAGCAGCCATCAGGACCCAGGACCAAATTTCAGGCTTCCACCACAATCCATTCTTTCTCTTCCTTTGTGAACAAAATCTGCAATAACTGCTAAGAGTCATCCCCGAAAGGCTGATGAGTAAAAATAATGCAATCTAATAGGTTAATGCGTCCTTTTGGGTTACCAGAGAAGGGAGGGTTCTGGTTTTTTACAAATATACAAGTCAATCATAGCAAATGGCCAGTACTGATAGATCACATTCCCCTGTTCATCCTGTGGCCCTATTGCCTGGAGGGGCAAGGTGGTAGAGTGTGGCTGGTGTCCAGTAGCTTCAATAGGGAATGCATCCACAAGTGTATGGGGGGCTGGCCACCACTTTGGCTTCTTCCTGAAGGTCAGGGGGTACCTGTTGAGGGTTTTGAGGGGAAGGTGAGGGTTATGGTAGGGGTGAGAGGAGGAGGTCTTCCTCTGTCCTCTCTTGCAAGATGGGGAGGGAGGGTTCAGGGCAGAAGGGGTAGCTTTCTTGGGCACACCCTTTTCCTTTAGCATAGAACCTGTGACTTTTGTGGCAGTTGAGTCAGGACTAGAGGCTTAAACCAGTGTGTGTGTGTGTGTGGGGGGGGGGGGGGTAATAGACCAGGTTTTCCCACACAGAAATGTAAGGAATATGGTCAGGGTGTCCTGGTCTTTTGTGGATGACCTCCTTGGTTTTCCAATAATAGATTGGTCAAAAGTGCCCTCTTGTGGCCACCTACTGTTAAAGGCAGGCCATTCTAGCTCACAAGGTTTCTCAGGTGCCCCAACTTTAAATTGTCCAATTCAGCGTGACACCCAATGTCCTGAAGTCCTTAAAAGTACCAGGAAACAGGCTTAGTGGAGTGGGATGACTAGAGGCTTGGTCTATGATCCTAGGATGTTCAAACCACCAAAACAGAGGAACAAACACAACAAAACACACACACACACACACAAAATGGCAAACAAAACAGACAACTGTGCACAGATCTGAAAATGAGACACTGGACAAATGACTTGTGTTGTGACCCACTCTGTCTCTGCAGAAGAACTATGGGGATCCAACCCCCTCCGAAGAGTCTCCAGACCCACCAGCAGGATTCTCGGGCATCCCCTGGTCTCCCAGCCTGTGATCTGTGTGTCTACCTAGATCTTAAACAGTCTATACAGAAAGAGCTCCAACGGCCCGAAACAGAAAGCAGAGCTTTCCCGGGCAAATTAGAAAGATACCTGCTTGTTCTGAGAGTTGGCGCCTTAAGAGTCAAGGGATGGCGGTCTTGGTGGACTTTGGAAATCCTGGTGGGACCTCTAAAGGTTGGGCACAAAGTCCAGACCCCCAAAGTCCAGACCACCAAAAACTAGATCTGATGCAATGTCAAAGAGTCTTTTAATTGTGAGTTCAGACCCAGGTCTCTCGTCCATCTGATACAGTGGTGGAGCATGGGAGACCCCGGGTAGCAGTGGGGCAGTGTATTTATTGGGGGTAAAGTAGGAAAGTCTAGGGGTCTACAGACTACATAGGAACAGACTCAGGATTGGTGTACCTCCAAGCTGAAGGTACCTGTCCTTGGCTAATTGGTTAGTTATAGCTGCAGGGAAGTTGCTATCTCTTGTGGTAGTTGCTGTGATTATGCATTCCATCTTTATTAGAAAAGCACCTCAAAGAGCCTGCTAGTTTAACTTCTGATTGGTTCTTTAACATATGGGGACATCTGGTGGGGTTTTCTTAGTAACTAGGGCTGAATTCAGGGTCAGGGGCTCAAGGGCTCATCCTGTTGAGTCAGGGGCCTACAATCTGCTGGGTCTTGTCTGCAGCAGCTGCTGAATAGCCAAGGCAGGGGTCTAGGCAATGGCCTGGGTTCCTCAGTGTACACAAATGATTTTAACAACTGTTATTTGCAATATCATCCGATTGGAGCCTGCCGCAAGTCCTTCAGTGATGAAATACTTAAAAGGAAATATATAAAGATATGTTCCAGAGACATGATGTATACTTGGTACTCTATGAGTTAACATCCAAATAATATGCAGTAATATGAGTCATTAAGTGAAACTCCAATTATGATTGTTGGAAAAGAATTTCCAAAAGCCCAAATACAGCTTATGCTCCTCAATATACTGTGTTTTTGAAAAGAAACCACCACAGAAATGGATAATGGTTAATGGCTTGAGAGCTACAAAAATGATGGTCAACACGAGAAGCCAACTGTTGTTATTGTAAAACCAGGGCCAGGCATGAGAACTGTCCTTCAAATCATTGGTCAGGGCAATCTAAATGACTCCCCAAGCAATGCAGTTTATTGACCTTGTTGGCAGTTTCCTCTCAGGGCTTGATGATGAGCCCATATTACTGAGGATGCTACACACTATGGACACAGGACTCAGAAGATTTGAGCTGAATCTAACCTGAAAGCCACTTCCTGTGTCCTAGCTCCGATGGTTACAGAGAATACCATACAAATTTCCAAAGGAGGGAAGCAGATATGCAGTCCTGTCTAACTACAGCACATATGGACCATGGCAACTACCAGCCAGATAAGATCATATAAAGTTGTGAGAAGTGGCACTCACTCAATGGCTCCCCATAATTGTCTAACTAGACTTCTGTCTAACTCAAGGGTAGGGAAATCATAAACTGGTACTAGAATCTTAGCCAGCTTCTTGAGGCTAGTGAGGTTATGGACCTTGGAAAACTATCTATTACCACTAGTTTGCTAGACCATCATAATCCCTTACTGAGTTCAAAATTTTGTCCTTATACCCACAGGTAAGTGTAGATACCACCCCCTCCCATTCCAAGAAGCCACTCTTTACAGAAAATGGAGGCCAGCATAGAAAGCCACAATTGGAAACTCTAGCTATCACTAAATCATAGGAAACCCAGTTCCAGTAAATAGATCTATATGTAACTCCCGCATCTTTGGTTCAGGGGACATCACAGAAGAGGGATTGGGACAACTGTAAGAGCCAAAGCACAGGAAGTCTGCTGTGAAACTGTCCTAGAAATGGCTTCATAAACAAGACCAGAACAATGGCACTGTCAAGGGACATGTTAACAGTAAAGAGAAAATATTTCACAGGGTCACGTGTCTAGAAAAGGAAGTACAGAAAACTAATGATTGCTGGGAAAAGGAAAATTAGCATTTCCCCAGGATCTAACTCCTGTGTTGGTTTTCCAGTGCAGAGTGGCCGGCCTTGAAACCATAGACACACAAACAATGAAAACAGGGTCAGCAAGAACTATTGTGTGTGTGTGTGTGTGTGTGTGTGTGTGTGTGTGTGTGTGTGTGTGTAACTAGATATATTTATATACAAATGTAAAGCATATATAATTTATATGTATATACTTGTGTATAAGCAATAATAATGTGGCAATGTTGAGAGAGGGTGGCATTTTCTAAGAAATAGGACCCACAAGGATGCTACCCTGTAATTGCAAGTGCTGTCCTCTGAAGGGATTAAGAGGATTTAGTGTGACCTTTCTAGTAGATACATGAGCATAATTAACAGAGAATAACAGTAAGCCTGTCTTCACTGTTTGGCTCATGTCTCACCACATGCTGTCTCATTCATGTCCCTGACATGATGACATTTGATTTGATACAACATAATCAAGGTTACAGTGACTAGAGGGCAAATTGATAGATGACTCTTATCCTTCTAAACTTTACAGCAATGAGCACTGGGAAATTATTTTATATATAGTTATCATAGCACACTAGGGTTTGGGGATACAGGTTACTTTTGATATGAATGGATGATAATATTTCTATTGTACAAATTTGTGTCATCACAGTATCTCTCTTCAGCCCTGAAACTATTTTTGAATCTAAAATTGTATCTTGATTTAAAAAAAAAATGAGGGAAAAGCACATATAATTTTGTCAGTTACGTCATAATCCTCAGAACTCTGACGTCACAGTGGTCAGTCACCGTCACTACTGCAGACTCCTCAGACTTCAGTAGTTAGTCTGCCAACTGCTGTAGCTATCTTTGGTGTTTAGTGCCAAGGAGGAAAAAGAGAATTTCAAGTCCACTGAAACGCCCTTCATTCCAGGCTCTGCTGAAAAGGTATTCTCTAATATCTACTTTTGATCCTTAGGATAGGCTGATGGTCTCAGGAGATGTCCTATCTTGATTCTTCCAGATTGTGTGAACTAATTATAACACTACAGCTCTAGCTTCATGAAAAGCTACTTAGGATAATAATGTTAAGTGCTGTTCTCTAAAGAAAGGAGACTCTAAATTGTCAGGGGAGATATGTTCTGAACCACATGGTAGGAAAACCTCTGTATCTTAAAATGGCTTTTGGAGTTATATTGAGGTTTTATGCCCTGCTCAGTCATGTTGTTTTAACTGTTTTGACCACAGATCATTACTGGATAGTGGTCACATTTCATCCAAAGTCCTACAAACTCTCCTGTTTTTCAGAATCTTTTGATCCTTCCAAAATTATTTGCTGTTCTTCTGCACCTATTTCTCAAAATTTGAACAATGCTTATGACAGGAATGACTTTCCCAAGAATTCTCACTCACTGGAATTTTTATGCTAGTATGTAAATAAATTGGGACTACTTGTTCACATACCTCCCTAAATTTTTCAGTTTGGGGGACAACTACTTTTTTTATCCCTTCTTGTCATTTTTGTTTAAGTCCTTGCTGAGCCTTTCTTGAAGAATGCAGTGTAGAAAATTAGCTAAGTATGTATGTACACACACATATGGGTGTGTATATACAAACATACTGTATAGGTAGCTATACTGCATAGATTAATGGGATCTCTAGTAATTAATCCTCTTCAAATTTGTGTGAATGTACCTTTTCATTCCTTAATTTTAGTGACATTTGTAATCATTGAATATGAACCTAATTGAAGCCTTTTCTTAGTTTCAGCCTCTTTTCTTGCATTGTTGAATTTATTTTACTTTAGTAGCATTTACACAGACAGAAATGTTTAAGTAATTGTGAAAAGGAGTCTGGTCATATATACTATACATTAGAAGTTGCTCATTTCCCAGGCTGGAGAGATGGCTCAATGGTTAAGAGCACTAGCTGCTCTTCCAGATGTCATGAGTTCAATTCCCAGCAACCACATGGTGCCTCACAACCATCTGTAATGAGATCTGGTGCCCTCTTCTAGCCTGCAGACAGAACACTGTGTACATAATAAGTAAACCTTAAAAAAAAATAAATAAAAGAAGTTGCTCATTTTCATGCTGTCACAAAGAAAGGCAGGTTTTGTCTTGCTTTACTTGTAGAAAGGGACCTAAATACTTTTGTAATTATTTCTGTTTTTTTTTTTTAAATAAAACATTTGTTTTTTTCCCCAATAACAATTAAGCTAATGTTTTTCTTTAAGTAATGTGATGATCATTATTCACATGAAAGTAACACTGGGACCCATGTTATTGTGTTAGGTTCCTAGTGTCCCCATCTTGTAGTATCCTTAATATTTTACATCATTATGTTTTTTCTGATTTCTCTGTTTTAACCTTTTATTGAAAATAAATTGTTTTTCTCATATAGTATGTCTTGATTATGGTTTCCCCTTTCTCTACTCCTTCCGGTTCTTTCACACCTTGCCTTCCATTCCAATCTATCCTCTCTCATTTCTCATTAGAAAAGAAGGAAGTGTCTAAGGGATATTAATAAAAAAAAAATTGCCGGGGGCCAGCCCCAATAGTGAAAGGGTTCCAGAGAGGATGTAGGGATCAAGGGAAGGGAAGGTTGAGTCAGACACCCAGATGGGAAGACTTTGCAAACTGACTGAATAGCAATCAGAAATTTTCCTTATTTATACAGATTCATTATTTCTAAAGAGATACAGATCACAACATTTTGTCTGGGGAATACTTCTCTAGTATGCCCAGGGTTATGGGCTAAGTACAGATAGAATAGATTTTATCAACTTCATATCGCTGTTCCCAGAATTCCACAGATTGTTTCAGCTTAAGCAAGCATAATATAGCAGCTTGTTCTAAAGCTGGCATCAGTTTGTGGTTTCAAGATACTTTAGATAATATTTGGGTCAATCCAAGTGAATCACCATCTTTTGAACAGTATTTTTTTTAACTTTTAATGGTGAATCATATTACTTGCAAATTAGACTAAGCCACTTAGGCTTAGGAACCATTGTAGCTGTTATTTCAATTTTTATATTTATATTTATAATCTTATAGGAATTTGTGAGTAAAAGTATAGCAGGATTCTTAAAAGTTCTTATTAATAAAATCAAACCTGGGGCCAGTTATTGGGGTGAAATACTGGATGGCCAGAGAGACAGAATAAGCCACAGCTAACCTCACCTGGCCAACTTCTCAGCTGGTCTTGTTTCCTCAGACTGGAAGCCTCTGTGTCCTCATCCCAATGGCTCTCAGCTGAACTGTACTGCTCAAAACCTAAAAGCTTAACCAGCCAAATGCTTAACCAGACCAAATGCTTCTAGTTTCTGGTCCTCATGCCTTATATACCTTTCTGCTTTCTACCACCACTCCCTGGGATTAAAGGCTTGCTTTCTGGGATTAAAGGCGTGATGACTCACCATGCCTGCCTGTATCCTTGAACACATGGATTTCTGCCTCTGAAATGCTAGGATTAAAGGCGTGCCTATCCTTTATGTTTAATATTGTGGTTGCTCTGTCTCTGACTCCAGATAAGTTTATTAGCATGCACAATATTTGAGGGAATACAATACCACATAAAAGAATTCTTTTGTTTCTAAATTAAGTAATACCACAACTACTTGATGTAAAGAAATCTTTTTAGGAAGGACAAATCCTAATATCTTTCACTTCTTATATTCTGTGTCATTCTTACACCACCTATATATGCTGTTACATTTCCTAGTCATTCTAGCTCTTATTGCTGAATTCCTTTCAGAAGCTTAATATGCATGGTCTTCCATCTTATAGGTTATGTGCCTAAGACATTCTAAGTATACTGTAAAAGGAGGTCTGTGCTGCCAATTCTCCAATCCTGATGAGCCTTGTCAGCCTTTTCTGAATTCATATGGTTCTATTTAGTTCCTGACTGCATAGGGGCAGATAACAGTCTCCAAGACACAAAGAAGACTCCCAAGTAGGGTCAACTAAGGTTTCTTCTCTGAAAGCAGGGGGTAGTACACTCAGGACTGCCTCGGGGGATACAGAAACAATCATCTCAGAAAAGACACAGCTGAGTCATTTATTTTTATTTTTATTTTTTAGTAAATTTATTTTACAACATCATTCAGTTCAACATAATAGCCACAGATTCCCCTGTTCTCCCACTCTCGCCCCCCTTCCCCCTCCCCCCACCCTACCCCCC